CTTACACGTGCATTGGCCCTCCGTGTGGAAGTAGTGGCGATGAAGCTCGTCCCAAAAGAACAAGCTGGATTCAGGCGTGACTACTCCACCCGTGACCACATCACCTCCGTCAACTTACTTACGGAGAAATGTCGTGAATGGAGAAAACCGCTTCACATGATATTCGTTGACTACCAAAAAGCTTTTGATACCATTGAATACGAGACCATTTGGAAGGCATTGGAGGAAGTTCAGAGTAGACGACTGCATAATTCGAATGATAAAACAACTTTATGCTGTCGGAAGATCCTTTTTGGCCCTGGGCTCGATGGAGATGGAGATTGACATTCAACGAGGCGTTAGGCAAGGCGATTCCCTATCCCCATTGCTGTTTATTTATGCGGTCCGTCGATCGTGCCTTCGATGCACTCGACTGGGGTGACCATGACTACAACATCGAACAAAATCATCTTAGCTATCTCGCCTACGCCGACGATCTGTTTCTGTGTTCATCAACTGTCGATGGACTTCCAGGTTATGCTTAATAAACTCGTTGACGCGACCAAGACGGCCGGCACTCGAGGTGAATGCAAGCAAAACAAAGTGGATGTCCAGCAACCCTAACGGACAACGACTCAGAGCCAATGGAGAAGAAATTGAGCTGGTGTCATCTTTCGTATATTTGGGCCAACTTCTACGTTTCCCCCAAGATCGTGGACAAGAAAGTCAATCGAAGGATCAGCGCTGCGTGGAGCATTAACAGAAGAGTTCCGAGCTCTGCTGAAGAGCCGAATTACGCCACTCATGACCAAACGACGGCGTTTTTCCACACATGCGTGTTACCCACTTTTTTGTATGGATATGAAACATGGACCTTGACGAAGAGCAACAGAAGATCGTATAAGAAAATGCCAACGACGAATGGAGCGCCAAATGTTAGGCCTCCGACTTCGCGACAGGGTATCGAACGCAACACTTAGGGCAAGGACTAAGCTCAAAGACGCTGTCGTCGAAGCTAGAAAGCGCAAGTGGATCTACGCCAATGAGTTGATGACAAGAGACCAGACTCGGTGGGAAGTACGGCTGACGAAATGGAAGCCCTATGGAAGCAGACCAGTTGGGCGACCACGTATTCGATGGGAAGATGACTTCAAGATGTTCGCGGGAGCAGAGTGGAAGAACACGGTGACAACTTCTGAATGGTTCCAGATCATGGCCCGTTTCTCTGTTTATGTCAGATGAATAACGGAAATAAATGTAATAAATGTATATACAATTCATTTCATTGCATGCTCCTCTGCATGATAAGTACGTCACATCAAGGTTTATTCGTCTTTCCCCTGTGTCTTTATTTCGTCAATCCCAACTCACTGATGAGCTCCGGGGATTGGCGAAATAATAAGGTTCGTCTGAGGAAGGAGCGAAACGAACCGTATCAATTATTTTGTTTCATAATGAGTTTTTCTTCTTAATTCATATTCCCAACTCCCTTATCAACCTGTTATCAGTTGTTATCACTTTTGATCATCCACTATCCGTGTTCCCGTCCCATCCCCTATACCACATGTGAGAGCCAAGGTTCCAATGTCACCGCGAAAGCCGCAACGAAACTGGTAGTATCCACACTTTGACGCCCCTTATCAGTTCTAATCAGTTGCTACCACCTTCTTCCAATCACCCTTTTGGTCCCTGCCTCACCCCACATAATATTCATGAGTGCGAACATCTTAGGGATCAACGCAAAGGCGTTAAAAATTTGGTGGTCATTGGCGTCTGCACGGCGTTACCAGCTTCTCTTAGTAGTATTTCCGCAACACGTCATCCAGGGTTCTCGTCCGGTGTAGCTATAGCTTAGAAGTTTGAGCGCTCTGGGACCAAAGGGAACGAGGATATTAATTCCCGGTGAGATAGACAAACACACATACACACAGACACACACCGCGCAACCGCCTATCGGGTTATATTAGCAAATCCGCCCATTATAATATAAACAACTAATTATGGCAGGAACGTTGTTTCACCTTACCGCCGTTGTGAGGTGGGAGATGGTAGGGGATAGAGAATCCGCACTAGAAGTAAATAGGAGACGCAGACTCTTTCTTTTCATAATACTTTTCACAGTGTGAGAAATGGCAACTAATAAATGATGTACCAGTTCGCAAGAAAGAGTTGGAAGATGTCAGGAATACCGCCAAGTGCATCATAAAACCCAACTTGACAGGCGGTTGGGAATTCAAAATCAAGTTCAAACATTCGCTCAACTTTCCATCGAAATAGCTATGAAGGTGTGCGCCAAAATCTGCTTTCCAAAGTTGAAATACTCATAGTACACTACTCGTTCATCTAGTAAACGGTTACAGCAGTTCTGAGAGCGTGCTATCGAACACTGCTTCATCAAGAGATAGATAGATACGGCAGCAGCAGGGGCGACGCTTGTCTGCAGTTGCGTCATGTCATGAAAAGTACAAAATCACATGCTCCCTTGGCTATGTCAATTAAATCGCCCAGAAAAAAATGGCGCACCTAGGCAGCGAAAAATTGACCAGAAAGTGAAGGAGAAATATTTGAGACTATGAAGGGGTCTGATCATGGTTGGTCGTGCTTGCCGTCGTACATCCGTTTCCGAAAAAGTAAACCACACTTTGCTCGTTTCCCGGAGCAAGGAGGGGCCTTTCTTTGATGAAAAATTGGGTTGTAGAATTTTTTTACCTGCTTGATGCCTTCCCGCGATTCAGCTTGTGCATTACTAAGGAGAAAGTATGTGTGCAAGTTCAGTATTATTATTAGCTATTACCTGTAGCTTATCACATTTCTGCAATATGCAACTTTCACAACAGTACTTTCATGACCTTTTCACTATAAGATTCCGTATTTGGCGAATCAGCAGCCCATTCCAGCCGCCGCGTTAATGCTGCATGTGGAGAGCGTAGGGTATATAAACGCACTGCACAAGATTATAGTAAACGCTTCCGCGAAGAAGACTCCGACGTTACGTATCGGGACCTCAACTAAAAGTCGACAATGATCGTTCTCGCCAGCTGCCAGGCAGACGGCAAACTACGCGTGAAGTGATCCAAGTCTCAAGTGCTGCCCTTTAGCGCCATCGCTGGCCACCTGCATCATCGTCAAAGCGCACAAGTTTCCTTTCAAGATATCAAGATAATGAAACGTTAACTGTCAGAAACCGCAAAGACTTCGCCTACCACCTATATATGTAGCTTCCTTAAGGGACTGTCAATTTTTTGGTTTTCTGAGACCTACAAATGTAATCCTAGAAGCCTCAAGTAACCAGACGTACATGTGCTTAGTTGCCTTTCAGTACATCCAAGCTAAACTGCCTTCCTTTTGACATGGGAACGGCGCGGATATTCTGACTCTGAAAAGGTCTATTCCAGACTAAGACAAGGCAGTATTTGCGTCTACTGTACTTAATCACAAGAGGCTTTCGAGAACCCCAAACACCTTCTACATATTACAGACTTTCAGAAAAGTGATACTCAGACAGTTTTCCTGTTCATTATAGTGAATATTACCGCACTTTCCTGCAATTTCTTCACACTGCAAAGTAATTACCGCAAACTTACATCATGGAATGACAACTGGAAGTTTAGATTTGTTTGGGTATTCTTGTTTTTTAGCAGTAGATTTGCTCTGAATGGCTTCGAAACAGTTCCTCCATTTCTATAACATATATATCATCTCTATAACATTTCTAAAAAGAAAGTTTCCTTTATGCTCAAAACCTTATCATCGCTTGTTTAGTTTCACAATGAGTTGGTGCAATAGAAGATAATGTCAACTCAGTTGCTGATATCCATCCATATAAAGAAGAGTGGAGCTTGGTTGCCTCACAGAATATGCGAGCACCGCATCAGTTCCAGAGAATCCGATTTGCTGGTGAGATTTTCGAAGGTGTTCGTGCCGTAATTCTTCTCAGTGTTTTCTCTAATTATAGCTGACACTATCGGAAAATAAACGCCTGAGTAACTTTGATATACATATTTCTGCAACTCTCGCAGCAAATGAATTCCTCTATAACAGCGTTCACCAGGGACGACGCCCCTTTTCCACTCTTCGGTCGCGTGGGAAGGACTCGATTTTGTGGGCGCCGCCACCTCACCAAATAACCGCAGATTTGTTTTGACTAATAAATGAAACAACCAATGCGTAAAGATTATCTAAACATATAACAGTAGGATTTCGATCAGAACGACAAATAGTAGTACGAAAAGAGAGCATTTATTCACTTTCCCCGTGAAGGAATTTAAAAGCATTTTACACTCGATTACGAGGTTTGCCCACCTATCTGTCCATTCCTAGCGCCTGGCAAGCGATTATCAGTTGGCAGCCCATATGGGCTGCCATCGTCCCAGGAGCGCATGTTGTTGGCAGCCCATATGGGCGGCCACTGGCGTGAATATGTTAACTTATGGTCATTGCAGCGAAACCAAGGAGCTCCACACTCCAATATCTCCAAAGACTTCAACAATTCAAGAATCGGGTTATTAAAAAGGATGAAACAAAAGGCAAGCGACATCACCACAATACCCAATGCCAAAGGTTAAAAGGACTGGTTGTTGACCCTCCATAATACAACCCTTCCCTTGAATACATTTTGAAGTAAGCTCTCAAACAATGTTCAGAATACAGTATAAGTACAGCAAGTCAACTGCACAAGTACCGGACATGTAAGCAAAAATATTGATCAAAGGAGATCCGCTGTATGCTGCTTTCCCATCAAAAAATCGCAGCCACTCTATTCATACGTGGTGACGCTTTCCTGGTCACTTTCACGCGGTGTTTCGGATTTCGACGAGTCATGCGGTCAGTGTTTTCTGCACCGAACTCGGGAAATCATTGGAAAACTGCTGACATGATCACACGCGTGATGAAAACTTTATTGTGCAATTACGACATTCAAAAACGTCACGTCTGCATTCTTCTTGCCTGCTCGTCTTAGCATCTGAACAAAAAAATGGTTTTATAGTGTATCACAAAATGCATTTTTTACCAGTTCCGGCTTAGAAAAAAGAAGACTTCTTTTCATGCACCACACCACAATCCGAGAAAGAGTTCACCGAACCACGGAACGTTCGCCATAATGTGACATCTTCAATGCAAACAGCGCCGCCTCCACGCTTGAATTGTGACTCCTATCGCAAAGAAGCTAGTTAGCTTGGAAAATGGATAGGTGATAATAAGTGAAGTGCCCTAGAGCAAACTAATTGAGTTACCTGTCTGTTCACGTCCCCTATACATACAGCTGGTACAGACTCGCTCATGGACACACCCCACTTTGAATGATCCTTGGAACTGGCATACTCTTTGTCCAACACCTTCACAGAAGTGACGTCGTAAACCTAAAAGAACTCGCTCAAAGCATACGTATAGACGGCAAGCAGGACATTTGATAATTTTACATTTTCTCCATCGTCGCACTGTGTGCCGACATCTTTAGCAGCGCCGTTCCTCCACGTTTCGACTGCCATAGGAGTTCTCAGGTACGGAGCAATGAAGTCGTGCCATAAATCTACAATGACCCATGTAGGAAAGGAGAACTTCAAATGAGAAGCCGTCTTCTAACTTTATGTGACCTTTTCCGAATTTCTTATGCTTGCAAATGCCTTGATTCTCTTGTGACCGCGAGTTTCAAAGTCGTGAGAAGTGGTGAACCGTGTGTCTGATCGTCCGAGAGATTTCCTGTTCACTACATCCACTAGGTACGGCGCTCTGTAGCATTGCTATGCTTAAGAATGGCCATATGTTCGTCCTTACCAAGCAATTACTTACATTATTTCGAAGTTTTTAGGCAAGTTGGTAATATAGGGCGTCACTTGGGAATATCTCATGTACTGGCTGATATCTTCAAAGATAATTGGCATCGAGCGAAAGACAGATAAACGACTGTGCGTATTTTGAACCTGTTTCCGGATAGTCGTATTTATCTGAAATATTTCGGGTACTTTGTAATACGTTATCCGGCGCATATGATTATATATTAAAACAAACTCATTGTGTAATGTTGAAGAAGTCTCTCACCAGGTGGGGGAAAGTTGGGCACACTGTGTACCAACCAGAAGCCGC